GGGGGGAATTCAATCCATTTCCAATCCTACAGGTCCTACAGAAAAACCTCTGCCACGGCTGCAGCCTGGCTTTAACTCTCAGTGGAACTCCCTGCTGCAAGAAACTGGGCGGAGGGCAAATTATCAGGAGGTTGAAAAAAGGCCTGGATGCATTCAGAGACACTGGCAGCAGCGGGGGCTGGAGGAGAGCCCCTTCCCTTCCCGTGGGACAACCCCCTCCGGGCTCCCGAACCAGCGTAGCCCCGGGCTCTAATCTTACTGTGCTTCATCCTCTCGGGGTCTTCCTCCTGCAGCGAGGCCTGGCTGCCCCCCTGCTGCGTGGCATCCTTGCCGCTCGAGGACTTCGCCGTGGGGGTGGCGGCTGCCATCGCCTCGGCTGCTGCGATCTGAAACTCCTTGCTCTCCCGGCTCTCCGCCAGGCACTCGCCGTTCTCGGCGTGGTCCTGGGCCACGGCTTTTTCCGTCTTTGCCTGTTTGGGATGGATGGTGGGGCAAGCTGAACTCTCAGCAGCTCTAGGGCAAAGCACAGAGGGCTTGTTTAAAGAGGGGTTGTTAGACAAATGTCCTGACACCTCTCCCCGCTCGCCAGCCCAGATGATGGGGATGGAGGTGGGCGCGTTCCCCTTCTCCCGGCCATCCCTACGCCACCAGCACGCAGCCCAGCCACAGCCTGGTACCTTTTCTTGCTGCTGCTCTTCCCAATGGCCTTCGGCACTTTGTTTTCTGGTTTGCTGGTTGGCACTGGCTGGTCCAAGTGATTCCAGAGCCGATGCTTTTCTAGCTGGGTTTTGGAGGTGAAGGCAGCTTCGCAGTAGGAGCAGGAATACGTCAGCTTCTCTGAGATCGCACCCTGTGTGGAGCGGGGAGACACAAGTGAGCACGGACATTAGGCCATAAAAGGAACAGGGTTTTTCTGATGCAGGCATGAACAAAAATTGTGGGTAAGACCCTTCTGCCCCTCCAAATGGCTACCGATGGTCCACGATCCCCCCAGGCCACGACTCACACTGAGCTGGAGGGATCCCAGCCCCCCTCGTACACACCTCACAAACTGTCACTGGCACGTCTGCACCCTCCCCGTTTTCATCTCACAGTTTTCCTGGGGTCTAAGACCTGAGGGGGGCTTCACCCTGCAGACGGTAATGTAAGAGCTGGCCACCAGAAAGGACACAGAGCCCTCTGGTCTCCTTACCCCTTGGCAGCGCTGATAATGGTACTTCAAGCCGTAAATGCTGGGGAACTCCAGCCAGCAGCCTGAATTGGGACATTTCACTCTGGAGTGGGCTTTGAATTCGTCCTTCCACTGGTTCATCAGGGGGAGCTGGGAACAGGAGAGACAGGACACGTAGCTGAGCGAAGGAATGAGGAAGAACTTCTTCCCTCTGAGGGTGCCGGAGCCCTGGCCCAGGCTGCCCAGGGAGGCTGTGGAGTCTCCTTCTCTGGAGATATTCCAGCCCCGCCTGGACGCGGTGCTGTGCAGCCTGCTCTGGGTGGCCCTGCTTGGGCAGGGGGTTGGACTGGGTGACCCCCAGAGGTCCCTTCCAACCCCTGCCATTCGGTGATTCTGTGAAGAGGGGGCCGAGGAGACACCCAAGACCTCCGAGCACTCCTGCCCACCCCTCCCCACCACGCGGCTGCGAAGCAGACCCCCCGGCTGTGCCTCGCTGCAGCAGTGCTCCCTCCAGTGTGGGGTGCTGGGACGGAGCTCCAGGCTCTGCAGCGTAATGGTTCCTCCTGAGAATTTACCTTGCTGTGCCTCCCAGTGCACACGCACGCTCCCGGCCAGGCTGGGGAATAAATCAGGCCAGAAGTCGCCCGGGTGATTTAACCACCCCACATTTCATCCAGTCAGTAAATCACCCGCTGCCCACGCTCTCATGACAAACTGCTCTGTGTGTCGTCCACGCCACCGTGCTGGAATTAAACCGCACAACTCCACGGGGAATAAATCACCCCCTCGCCAGTGCTGCCAGATCATTAGCCAAACCTAACGTGGCTGCGAGGGAACCCAGCTCTTCTGGGAACGGCCTGGGGAAGGGAAGACTGGGTACTGCTCCCTGACCAGGGCTTTGGAGGATGCTGGGTGCTGGCACGGAGGGCATTCAGGGGCCAAGATCTTGCTGAGTCCAAGTCAAGGCTGCTCTGAAGATTAAACCACCGGGGAGGCAGGGCTAACCCTGGAGCAGGGCTGGCTGGAGCGCGCTGTGCAGCGAGGCATGCAGGGCAAGTCGGAGGGAGCGAGGCCGGCGAGGCGTCGGGGTCTTACCGGGATGTCTTTCAGCGCCTGGTTCTCGGCCTTGGGTCGTCCTTTCTTCCTGCCTTCTGTTTTGTCACTGGTTGCATTTCCTGCAAAC